AGATTAGTGCCAGCAAGGCAGGACGTCTGATTAAATGGTGCAGTCAAGCCCAGTTTCTCATTTGTTTTCTTTTTGCCCTTCTCTATTTCGCTTTTGAATGATGTTTTTTTGGGCCCACCAGCCTTTTCCCTCCGAACCTGCACCATGCCGGTGCCGGATCACCGTTCATCTTGCCACGGTCCCTGTGTACTGCATTTTGGTGAATAGTAGGGGTCCGTGGGCTGGTGGTTTAATTCTCGTGGAAGTATCAAGAAATTGAGGGTCTCAACCCTGGCAGCCACCTGAATCCAGGAAGAGGATCCAGCAATTGATTTGAAAGGTAGCTGGCCTTAAACCACCAGTACTTGGCCCAACTATCGGCCGCGGAAAAAAAAAAAGAGTACAAACGCTTCTAGTCGGATGAATTTGGGCGCGCCTGTAGTAGCCCGTTCGTTTCCTAAAATCGTGGTGCGTCGTTAACGGGCACGACTCCAGCAAGTACTGGTGGTTTAATCTGATCTTCACCCTGTTGATTCTGCATCGCAGAATCAACCTAGGACCTGCAAATCATTGGAACTGTAAATGACCAGTGTTGATTGATATCATAGTAGTACAGAATGTGAAATGACTGTGTCTTTTTTGTCTGGACTCTTCGCGTATAGTCTCTGCGGTGTTCTCCTTACCAAACAACAAGGCTTAAAATAAATAAAATAAAAATAAAAGTATGCATCAGAGAACCGGAAGAGTGGAAGGGGAGTGGGTGTGCCACAGAGAGATATGCTCATAACACACTCGTTGGCACGCCCCAAAAATGTTGGAAGAAAAAAGACGAAAAAAGAATCAATTCTGCAAACCATTGGAACTGTAAATGATCAGTGCCGCTTGAACCTCCAGTACTACTTGGCCCAGCTATCGGCGGGGGAAAAAAAAAAGAGTAGAAATGTTTCTAGTCGGATGGATTTCAGCGCTCCTGTAGTGGCCCGTACGTGCCTAAAATCGGGTCTGTAAACAGTCCGGGGGTGTGCCAACTGAGCTAGACAAGTGGGTAGATGACTCTTGTTTTTTGTTCGGACTCTTCACGTACTATAGTCTCTCTGAGAATGATGGGCATCGCTGCACTACTCTCGACATGCACAAAACACAGAAATCATGGGGGCGTATCTCGCCATGTTTCTAGCGAAGATTCACTCTCGTTTTGCACGCTTCGAGAGTAGTGCACCGCGGCCCTATGTCTTTGTCTTTACCAAAAACAAGCCTCTTGTGGAGCTCCTGTCAACTCTTTCTGCCCTCCTCTTCTCCCCTTCGCCTCCCTCCGACGTTCTTATCCTTGGATGCAATACTTGGCTCAACTGCACCATTTACTCTTCTCTGCAAGGGATACATGACGGCCTCGGTCCTGCTTCACTCGCCAAATGTGCAAAATGATATTGAATCCTCCGCTAGCGTTCGCATGGGGAGTGGGACGGAAGTCGGCCTTCAACTCCCCTTGTGAACTGGGTACCTTCTTCCAACTCCATAGGGAGTGATCTGACAGCACTGAGTGGAAGGGCTGTTGCTCAATGGATAGGAGTTACTCTACCTTCTTCCCTCGAACACAATGACGCCGTATCTGGACTGAAAGTCGCCCCCGGTACGGTCATTATGCCGGTATCAGGGGCGACTTTCAGTCCAGATACGGCCATAAAGACTCTTACGTTCTATTCGGGCCAAGACGGTAGGGAGGGACAACAGGCTGATTTTCCCCAAGAGCTGACATCGACGGGAAGGTACGACACCTCAATTGGGGCATTCGCCCAGTAATGGGAAATATTTTTTTTCAAATAAAATAGATAATTGTGCCATACTCTGGGACATCCATAGGTTCGAAAAAAAAAAAAAAAAAAAAAAAAAAAGTTGTCCCAGCTGGGCAAGTGGTCGCGGGCCACTCAGGTAGCCCGGGCAGCTGAAGGAAATGAATCGAATGAATTCGGATGTTCAGGAGGGAAGTTTCTTCAAGATACCCCTCAATGAAAACATGCCATGCATCTGTTGCTTTTCGATGATAATCATAGAGTGCTTTTTGCGTTATATTCTTCGAAGTCCAGATAAATGCCAAAATGCCCCCGAAAGATGTGGGTGGAGCGGAACGCCTTTTGGCTTGAATTCTTTGTGATACGCCCCTGTTGGGCCTGGGTGCAAATTAAATTTTGGGATCTGCACCTCTCCATCGGGATCTGGGCCAGCACCCTGTTTTACCCGGTTTGCCATCCCTGCGCGCGGCCAACTTTGCAGAATACCCAGGCCCTGACAGTCGCTCGTGGTTGTTCGTCTTTGGAGCAACTAGGAAACCTGCTAGGGGGGGATGCTGGTACCACCTCCCCTAGCAGCCTTTCCTGTTTT